AGACGTAGTGTGGGATCACCTAGCCTAGAGCCAAGTGCATAAAATTTATCGAACTCAATTTTAAACTTAAATCATTTCTGAATTAAACTATTTTCTGTTATAGCAGCAACGTTTTTGATAAAAAGCAAACCTTTGTAATCAACGTATATTCCAAATTAAGAAATCAACAAATATTTTTCCAAATGTTGTTTTTTTTTAATTAAACAATCAAAATTTCGCTTTGTAGCTTCTTCAGGAGCGTACACTAAAACACAAACCGAAACTGACAGTACAAAGCTTCAAATTGTTTCATTAAATAATAAATTATATTCGAATATATACGTACATTTGTACAGCGTGTTTTTGACATATTAAGTAGTAAAACTTATTGTTGAAAGAAAAGTTTTGTTAAAACAATTAACTGTGACCTGTAGTAAACATAAGTTCTATCAAGGTTACAGAGTGAAATAACAAAAAACAAATAACAAGATAAATAAAATTAAAATCACAGATGCCATCCTTTCTCCCTATTCATCTGTGGTTGTAGTTCGGTGATAAGAGCTTCTTTGAATTTTCTGTCAATGCACTTAGTGGTTTTGGTGAGGATTTGTACGGAGTATGGTGTTTTTGAGTCAGGGGTTATTTGTCCATGATTAGTTAAAAGATGAACTGCAACTTCGCTCTTTCATGTTGTTGTTTATAAAGAGCATCAATATGTTCTCCTACTCTTGTGTGTAGAGTTCTTCTGGTTTCTCTGATGTACATATGATGGTAGATGTTACATGTAAGCTGGTAAACAACATTGGAGACAAGTCACTCATCTTTAGATTGCAAACATGTATTTGTAAGACAATTAGCTTTATTACATTGTAGGGCAGTGTACTGAGATTTTGAAAGTTGGCTTTTCAGGGTTGGACCTGGCCGTTTTATAACTTTAATCAGCAGTTCAGATTTCCTGATTATAGTTTTTATTTTCTTGGAGATAACTTCGTCAATTAGAGGTGTTATAAAAATAGCCTTTTAGTGTTATTTTTGGAAAATCTTTTTTTTCCTTCTTGTTTATCTGTGTTTTCTCATGTTGGAAGTGTGATGCTGATTTTTGCGTGTCATAGTTCTTGAACATTTGTTCGATATAAGAAGGTAGTTATTCGTTGCTCAGAAGAAGTGATTTTAGTTCGGAGCGTATATTGTTTTTTCATTACATTTGCGAGCGATTTTGTTTAATTCTCCAATAATTGCGTCTTTCTTGGAAGCTTTGGGATGATGGGAGTTGGAGTTAAGGGAGAGAGGCTTTCTATTGGTTTGTGAAACAAGGTAGATTGTATATTATTGTCACTGTCGATCCTGGAGGTAACGTCAAGAAAATCCATGATCCTCTTGTCATTCGAGTGATTCAGGGTGAATTGGATGTTGGGGTCTTCTCCAGCTTTCTATGTAAATAAACGTAAATATGTGTGTGTATCTGTTCCTTATACTTTTCACATTTCTTGATCAACCAGCACAAAACTTGACACAGTAATACAGGGTGACATGAGGGAGGTTGGACTTCCATCTAATTTCATATCGATAGCATTCTTGAGAACAGTGTGTCTTTCTTTTCACTATTTCCATCGCTGGAACAGAGGTAAGTCTACTGATTTACAAATCTAAAATCAGGAATTTGATTCCCCTCGGTGGATAGCCCGATGTAGCTTTGCTATAAGATAAACACACAACACACACTTTTCAGTATTGGTACCTTTATGTAGTTTTATTGCACTAGTAATGTTTATTATGTTTAAACAAAATAGAAATACAATTTGCTATCCTTTGTCACAAACGAGTTCTTATTTCATCCGCCAAACGGACGTGTACTCCAGCTAGTTTTGGATAAAAAATGGGGCTGTATATCTTAATGGAAAGTAAGTGTCGTTCTTTTAACATAAAGCTTAAGCTCTGTTTAGTGCAAAACGTTTCAGCCTTTGATTGTTGTGTGCCTTGAAAAAGTATTCAATTAAAGTATTGATTGCAGTGTCACAACTGGTTTTATTCATTGAAAAAAACAACTCTTTTCTACAAAAGTTTCATTAAATCTCTAAATTATTTACAGCGTTAACTTCCTTACAATCATCACATCAGGTGTGTTGTCGTGCGTTTGTTTTTTTTAAGTGAATTAAATAGTAATTGTACGTCATTGTCATGTTGGTGGGTGAACATATGTTCTCATGGGCCTGTTAGATTGTGTATTACAAAGTATTTATACTTTTTATCTTATTAATACTAGATAACTTTTTTATTGATCCAGAAATTATTTCTTCATGCCAAAAATCACTTGGTAACACATTTGAATAAAAATCTATAACCTAAGATTAATGCCATATTGTAGGGACTATAAATGACTGTTGTAATCGGAGTTAGTAAATCTTAACAGTTAACAAAAACCAGAAATCAGCTGCGGCAAATTCTAGCACAATACATGCTTCAAACATGTGTTCTGATGGTCAAATTTTGATTGAAGGTGCATCTACGTTGAAATATTTCAATGAAAACTAACATTTCTTTCCCCACGTCTTGCTATCGAAATTTGATCATACAGGATCACAACGAAAATATCTTAAGTATTCATAAATCATGGTTTATAGAAATACTTAAAAACAAGTAGCTATTACAGCTTCGTCATCGAAACGTTACACATGAATTCGTATATTATATACCTTAAAACAACCATGATAATAAGTCAGACTTGTGAGATTCTATGCACCTAGGTGGCAGCACTAGTAATTATATTTGTAATGACAGTGCAGTGTATAAAAAAGTGTGCTATGTCTGATATTTCGTAATGCGAAATATTTAAAATGTGAGTTTTATTGATGATTGCAAATAAATTGCTGTTTTTGTATAAAGTAATAGTTTGCGTATTTATTGGACTTCCCGTAAAGTTACATGTGTGTTATATACGCTAGATATACGTTTTAAAGTGATAGACTAGAGAGAAGGCAGCTATTCAATACCACCCACCGCCAGCTCTTGGGCTTCTCTTGTCGGACTTATAGTGGGATTTAACCGTTACTTTTATAACGCACCCCCAAAGTGGAATAGCAATTGTTTTTTCTTCTTGTTTTTGATGGTAACCGGACAAGAAACAAGGGAATTCAGCTACACAGTCCGGCACGCTGACCACTGAGTCACACTCGGCCCTGATGGAAAAGTAAACATATTTCATCAAACGTTTCGAAATCTACAAATTCTATTATCACTTTTTTTTAATGTGTATATTGAAAATAGTACATAAATTGTGGTCACGCAAGTGGGAAGAGTACATTAAGACAAAAGGAGGTACTAAAGTGTAACAATATATATGTTTAAAGTTGGAAGAGTACATTAAGACAAAAGGAGGTACTAAAATGTAACAATATATATGTTTAAAGTTGGAAGAGTACATTAAGACAAAAGGAGGTACTAAAATGTAACAATATATATGTTTAAAGTTGGAAGAGTACATTAAGACAAAAGGAGGTACTAAAATGTAACAATATATATGTTTAAAGTGGGAAGAGTACATTAAGACAAAAGGAGGTACTAAACTGTAACAATATATAGGTTAAAAGTGGGAAGAGGACGTTAAGACAAAAGAATGTACTAAACTGTAACAATATATATATTTAAACTTGGAAGAGTACATTAAGACAAAAGAAGGTACTAAAATGTAACAATATATATGTTTAAAGGATTTATGGAGCAAAAAGTAAGATTTACTTGCGTAATAAGATTAATAATAATAATACCTTATTTAAAATATAGTTTAAATGGGTATTTTTTGGAATTGTCTTTATTTTAAATAAATTATTATTCTCTTATGCATGAAAAAACCCAACTTTTTTTGTTCTGTAAATCATTTAAACCAGGGATGGAATTCTGCCGGTGCTCGCCGGTACCGGTAACCGGAACTTATTTTTTCAGGTGGTGCTAGTACCTGGACTTACTTGAGCTGCTTTGTCTTTTTTTATTTTTACACGTAGATATTTTTTCTTTTGCCAATACAGGTCCACTTCACCCAGCTGAGTACTATGTTTCAGTATCTTTTTATTTGAAGTACTTACCACACACCAAATCTTTATTTTTGTACAGAAATCACACTTTAACTGAAAGTTAAGTGATCGAAAACTTGGGGGAGTGGGGCATTTTTATCATGTGTTTTAATGTATATTATATTGAGTATACCCTCAATGTTAATAGTACTGATGGTTAATTAAAGAAAATACAAAAGCTTGGAAGCAAATTTTTAAAATTATTTTTAAAACGTACGTTCTTGCACAAATGATGTTTCTATGCTTTAGAAATTAAAAGTACATAATTTAAGTTCTGAGAACTGGAAAGTATCTTGGCGTGTGATGGTACCTGAAACACCATATATTAAATTCACTACGTTTTAAAGAAACATGTTGTGCCCTGACTGTTGCTTTGTATTGTTATTGGCTTACGAAACCGTTATTATTGCAGAATATACATCAAAGTAACTAATGATAAGCTATATACACTAAAACAAGTTTATACGTCGTATGTTTTGTTAGTGGCGCCCTCTTAAAATCAGATCCTCGTCATCGAATTAGAGCTCTTCTTCCCTTAACCTCGTGTTCATCGTGTGCTGTGCGTAGAACGATGTGCATATTGATCTGAGTTTCTTTGGGATTCCCAAGGATTCCTTTCGCGTTCTTCGTACTCCAGTTCTTTGTTCAGTTTCCATCAAGCAACAGTAATATTTCCTATAAAATAACACGCACTGTTTAGCGTTTAAACTTTACTTAAAAAGAGAGAGTTGTCAAAGTTTGTTTTTATGTTGATAGTTGTATAGTTTCCGTAGTTTTAGGTGATGTAATCCTAATATCATGTGGTCATATTAGGGGAAATGTCACTCGTATAAATAACCATTTTTTTCAGAATTAGTGGGGTTCGTTTGTGAAACGTATGTTTTTTTTTATGTGAGTGGACTTTGAATAACAGTTGGGCGGTGGTACCTGAACCTATATTGAATGGTTTTCTTTGTTAGGAGGTGAGTTCCATTGCGCTTACCAATGCTAGATGCGTTGAAAGTGCTCTTTGTGCTGACAGGAGCAAGCACTTACTTAGGTGAGTGTTACTTATCAACTGTGTTTCATCCTTGACCACTTGTATTTTTACAGTGTCTTCATTTACAGGAACCTCGTGCCTTTGTTTATTCGCACGTTTTTTTTGAAAATTAACTGTTATTGTTTCATTGTAACTTTTAAGTGTGTTTAATTTCGAAATGTTTCGTTCTGTATAATATTCTTATTTCGTTAATTTGTTTTTCCCTTGAACTTCTCACTAATTACATTTGCATTTTTGCTCTAAGAATCTTCTTACTGGTGAAATTAAAATTCTATATACAGGAAAATGCCGAAGAAAATTAATTTTTAGTTTCGTATTCCCATATTTATTAAACAAGCGTATAGTTTAACTTTTACGGACTGTTTGTGCATGACTCTTGTTGTGTTTTGCTCTTCAATATTAAGTGGACCAGTATCATGAACATGCGAATGCATCTATACCTATTATTCATGTTGCACGGCTCTCAGCCCCTCATTGGCTCAGCTTATAACGCTAAAAGCCGAGTTTCGATACCCGTGCTGGACAAAGCATAGATAGTCCATTGTGTAGTTTTGTGCTTTTAACACCAAACAAGTTCATCGTTCTTTATTTTTTCCTTTCAATATTATACTATACATAACTAGTAGAGACAATGTCAGACTTAAAAGTAATGGTTTTAAACAAGCTCTTGGGCTATCTCTTTCACTATTTTGAGCCGTAGCACACGAACGACTCTCCGGATGCAATGGTATCCATGCTATACGCGACATTAGTCGTCATTTTCGGTAGCGTCGACTTCACGTATTTTGCTACCGACCTAATTGTTCAGTTAAGCCCTCACATTGAACCGTTCTTCAGATTGCTTATCTATTTAAACTCAATCTTTAGAAGTTGGTGTATCAAATCTTATAGAAATATGTTTAGTAGCTCGTAACACCAGACTGACATATAGACATTTCATGCCGTCGCTTAGCATACAAACATCGCAAACATGCGAATGCATCATCTGTAATTGGTATTTACGTTTTACTGTTGTTGCCATGACACTCTATGATAGTGGGAAGTTGTGGTTTTTATCACTAGAATAACGGAGTAATATTAATATTACGAAATATTCAATTATATTTTATTAAATTATTTGGCCAAATATATTCATAGGTAAAACAAAGATGCTAGCGATCCCAATGGATTTCAATCAACACAGATGGGACTCGGTTGTGAATTAGGTACCTTATTACTTGGCATAACATCGAAATCACAATACTGACCATACAGTATAAGACTTACAAACGTCGAGTTATGTACAAAGCGATTGAACAATTGTTTACAAACACTGAAATATCACAACCTTTTAAAATAAACTCTATAGACCTGTCTAAGAGAAAAGACGTTGACCAAAAAAGAATGAAAAACATTATAAACTTTGTTAACTATAGTATATTTTTGTACACAAAAAACGTATCTTATAAAAAGTAACAGTTTAATTACACACACTAAAAATTTTTCTAATAACTATACCATGGTCATTGACTATTACTTTGTATATTCATCATAAAGATTGAATGCATAGTTGAAAGCATAGTTTATAACACAGAAGCCATTTTGGATCCACTAACGTTAATTTTCCCCGGTGGACCAGCGGTACATTTATGGACTTTAAACAATAAAATCCAGGGTTCAAAACCCCACAGTGAACACAGTTTATTAGTTTAAAAAACACACTTTTACATTATTATGAAATAAATTAGACTCAAACTACTTTTAATGGGCTTAAAAGATATTGTCTATATTAATTTTATATGTTATTTTTTGTTGTATCTATTATATTATTTTATTTGATTACTGTCATGTAATACGTATTCCTACGTAGTTATTTTTTACAGAAATGTACCCAAGAGAACTTTTATATATAGATTCCAATGGTCACATAAATGAACTGAAATGGTATTGAATACTGCTTTCACAGTGCAAGAGTTGCTCTTAATTCCTAACGATTATTTCAGAAATATTCAAGCTATAAATTGTAAACGCCAGTTATAGAAGATCTTATGACTTAACTGAAAACACTGAGCTCTTATAAGGACCTATTCTCTTTTGAAGATGGAAGATCATATCAGTTATAAAGTTTCACATTCCTGCTTCTTTTGTTTCGGAGGAGATGGGCTTATAACCTCAAAAGATGGTTTCGCATTGTTGTATGTATTTAAGAACTTTACCTAACTGCCATCTTCAATTTGCTTAACTTTTCACGAGAACAAGACTACAATTATTCATTTAAGTAGATGGGGAAATGTACGAAACAATTGGACGATTTTAATCTTTTTCTTCTTTTTTTATAAATAATGTGCAGTCCCTCTCACCTGTTTCTATGTGTGTTTTATAATAATAGTTTTCCTGCATGGCTAAGCTGAACTACAAAAAAGTGACTTCGTGCATAATAACATCGAGTGGCAGCGTTTGATAACACGTTAAGCGTCGTGATTAATAAATGTGTTTGTTAAATTGTCAAATAAATGAGCTTAAAATTCAGTATCGTGCTTCAATGATAATTATTTATTGATCAATGGCAAAATAATTAAGTAATATATTGATTTATATGCTTTGTTAGTGAAAATCAGAATAATACATGAAATATCAGTAATTTGTGAGTGATCATATTAATATAACTTCAGTCCTCAGTTAATATTTATTAGTCGATCGTGTGATTCCTTAATTTGATACATTTACTGGATCCCCTCTTATATATTATAAGCGTTTTTCAAGGATTATGTGACTTGAAACTTTTAATCGTGATTTCTTGATGATTAAATATTGTTTAACTTGAGTGCAGTTTATATAATTAAAAGTTATGGATGAAAATTTTAATATAATGATGTTTTTATTTCGTGTGCAACAAAACTAATCTGCGATATTAATTTTTCGCTCTAGTAGGGCTTAATTAATACAGATTATCCTCTCTCCTTTCCAACACATGTAGACGTTGTTTATGTTTCATTAATTGCCTAATATTAGCGTTAGTAATCTAGCTTATAGAAATTATGACAGGCGGATGAGTTTGAATATTTGAGGTCATTAGTGGTGGTGACATCTGGGCTTCCCATAATGACGTTTTAACCATTAGCAGGCATCTTTGAGGTAATCTGACGAGTATAATATCCACAAGTTTATCCACACGTTTTGGACAATGTTACAATAAGTATACAGGAGTTCTTGCTAATAATGTCCTGTTTGTTTTTGTTATATTTAACTGAACCTTGATAAACTAGTATCACTAATATCAGATAAGAAACAAAGATTTAAGTTGATCCAGTGTGGTTTCGAAGTTTCACACGTTTACTGCTTAACAGGAAAGGCCACAGAAAGTTCGATCGTCATACAAACCAACTAGGGGCTAATTTATCGTTGGTTTAAACAAGAAAGTAAACATATCATAGCTAATCGTATCAAACTTTAGTACTAAAGTCTTTTTTATCATATTTCAGTTCCAGCTTATCTTAGTGCCACTTTGAAGTATTCTACCGTCTTATAGTGTCAGGATGATTTATTTTTTGTATGTATAGTATGTATGTATAAGATATGTAAATTTCAGATGTTTGACGAAACACTTATTAAGACGAATAATTGTTGATTCCTTAATTAAATACCATTCCAAGTTTCCCCCAAAACGAAACTCGTTTTAACCTATATGTTTATTGATTCAAACATTATTGAAGATGGAGTTTATTAGACTGTCATTATGTGTCATTATCAATAACAGAATAAATTATCATGTAGCTAATTAAACGTCAATTTATTGTAATCTGAGTTGGTAATTTTATTCACGCCGTCTGTATTTACATTCAAGGTAGAATTTATGTGGTTACAAATATCCTTAATGTAATTTATGGATTACTCTAACCATCTTCGCTTCAAACAAAGAATATGATTTTAATGTAAAATAACGTTAGCGGTTAAGGATCGTTTCGAATAATAACGTTCAGTTAGCCTAGTTTGTCTCACACTTATATATTGCGTGAAATACTGTATAAGATTAATAGCCACCATGACTATCGTCTTTCGTGTGTCAGACACCACTGTTCTATTACTGGATTTTCTTTACACTTCCCCTTCGGCATTTCAAGACTGAAGAGTTCGTGGTAGTTGCTGGACAAATCATCTTTGCTACTACACATTGTACAGTAGGTTATAGAATGACTAAGATAGATGGATTCATGGGCGCCCGTAGGAAGGGGCAAGAGGGAGCATTTGCCCTCTTACATTTAACAAAACATTGCACGTATTATAATGTTAAACCAAATATTTCTAGTAATTCCTATTAAAACTGTAAATTTGTGTTTGCCTTTAAGCACACATAACACATATTCTTTTAGTCTGTTGACTTACACTGTAAAAGCTGATCCCCAACATACATGTCTTGCCTCCTTTCCCCTCTTGAAAATATCACTGTGGGCGTTCATGGATAGATAACTGGGTGAATGATTTTGTTTAAGTTTTTGTGGAGAATATGATTCTTTACGACTAAAAATAATTCTTAAGGTTAATTTTTCATATGAATGTGGGGGGGGAGGCTATTTGCTGTGTTCACCGAGGGCAATCGAATCCCTGATTGTAGCGTTGCAAATCCCGAAGATTTACCATTGTCCCACCGGGGACTTTCCAGATGAAGTACCTTTGCTAATTGTTTCATATTTGTGAAATATTGTCAATAAATATATGTTGATTGTTTTAACGTTTTCTTTCACGACGTACTTAGAATTCTGAATTGTACTTCTTTTATAATATTTTCCTTCTTTTTGTCTTGTTTTGTTTCCGCTTCTGTTAAAGTTTGTTGGCTGGTTTATCAACATATGACACAAACTGTCTATATTTAATATCGTTATCAGCTTTAAAATGGAAACGTTTTGTTAGCAATTAAAACTACGACATATCAGTCCATAGGATCCGAAATACGGCTCGCCCCAATGGACTGAAACGTCACAGTCTTAATTGTTTAAAGCACATTTCCACTGTAAAGATGATCA